CCATAATTATTATAAATAAAACTGAGCGATTTTCTTGTACATCAGGAACATTACTCCTCGAATTAACGGGTTTAAATTACCTTGCTTAAAAATTATGAACAGCTGCACAATATATTACTGCAAGACCAAACATTCAATTTCAGTCCTATATATTGCAGTATAAAAGGTCTTAAATTTGCCCTCTCGTATTTTTTGGAAGGAGGAAAAGCCATAATCTAATTTTAGGTAGAACTTTTAAGCATGTAATTTCTAAAATTCCACCGAAAACATTCATTTATCTCTTGTTCCAACTGCATGAGTTGAGGAAAAAATCTGAAACAAGGTCATTACACCCGATGTCGTGTAACAAAACGTCCTATGCTCTTAAACCATAAACTGAATTACAGATATAGGATATTGTTATATTGTTATATTGTTACATCTGGCATAAGCCTTTAAACCTAAGAACTGTCTTTAACTCAATGCTGCATCAGCCTGCATGGTTATTAACCGTTATTTCGGACATGATCGGCGCCGTCTTAGCCACATGCATTGACATTTATTATGTTCATTCCTGATTATACTGGAAGTACACAAATCTCGTTACAGCCAGGGCCGTAACGAATGCATGGGTGATGTTTCGATAAAATGATTATATATTATGAATATTTATATAACCACTCATTATTAGTTCGGTATTAGCCACTTATGCAGGCCCTGTAATCAGCCTGTATATTACTTATACTTATATTTACAGGCCCTGTGCGCCTCATTGGCCCAATAGGCCTAGATGATGATGATGAATTCTTATCCGGCTAAGTTATTGGAAGATCTGCACAACACATAGCTTGGCTTAACTCAAACAAATCTGGGAGTTAGTCTGAGTCAAGTAAAACGAGAAAACAAAAGAAATATCTAAATAAAAACCTTAAGGTGCAGTAATCTGGTCGAAGAAACGATCACGCCCAGCTCTTACACAAACTTTTCAGTACAAACAATGGATTCATGCATGGCATGGTGAAGAAACTGTTCAATATACAGGGTGTATCAAAAAAAACGCAACCACTTAATATTCTAAAATTCATATTGTTCATAAGCTCAATAGATTTTATGCCCCTGGGATTTTAAAATGGCTTCTAATCGTACAGTTCAACTGCTAATAGTCAAATCAGCTAAACTAATAATGGTGCAGCTAACAACCGAACAACGAGTTTTTATTGTCGTGCATGATAACTTGAATGCTAACTGTCGACCTTGTAAAATAAATTGTAAATAAAATTTTACTCGTTAGATACTTTCAATTCAGCTCGTTGGTTTACCCACCCGACTTTGTTTACCGACGATTGTGCCGCTAGAATATGATTACAAGCTTTCTCGCATTCCAGGGGCCAAACGTCTTTTGTGTTGTAGAACAAAGAGGATATTCATGAATATTAAGTGGTTGCGTTTTTTTTGATACACCCTGTATATAATCACCTCATGAAATCAGGGAACCATCATACTGTCAAAATTTCAACACGCAAAATTTCCAAAGATTTGTGCACGATGTCGATGCTGTCTTAACAGTTCACCGGAAATTCACTAAAACCACACTACAGGGTGTATCAGAAAAAACTAGAAGATTTTAAAATGTCCAAAAAACTATCATTTTATCAAAATATCTCAAAAATATATATACGTCTAAGTATTTCAGCATCTTCTGGCTTATCTAACAGTAAAAGCTATCAGAAAAATTAACCTAAAAAAGCGGGAGAACGGTTTGTAAAAGCCTCATTTTTAACCGCTTGCGCAAAGAAAATGAGAGGTTCAAAATCCAAATTCATTTAAAGAGATGAAAGTTTGGACCCTTTTGTGCAATGTATCAAAATTTCAGAAAATTTGATAAACATTAAGTCCGCCGTGAAACGTTTCAAAATTGGACTTTTTCCGTTTTCTCCGCTCTCGCGTAACCTTTTTTCATGCAAGAACGATTAAATGCATGAGTGACGGTTCGAATGACGTACTTAAACATAACAAACAATGAATGCTCTTGTTTCATTGTTTTATTTAACAAAGAGTTCTGGTAATTACACCTGGAGAATGCAAAAGATGTCCTGTTTAGGAATTGCTAGCTTATTTTTCATATCAAACATTAAAAACAGTGCCAAGGCCGCAGTTTACACCACAGCAAAGAGCTTTTTTGGTAACTGAATACCACCGTAGTCATGGGAGTGTAACAAGAGTGCTCGAAAGGTTTCGGGAGGAGTATCCTGACGTACGCTGTCCATCACATGGTACAGTTTACAACAATGTTGCTAAATACCGTACAAACGGGTCAAGCTGTAATCTCAACCGGAAAAGATCAGGACGTCGAAGAACTGCGAGGTCTCAAGAAAACATTGAAGCTGTACGAAATGCGATTGAAAATCAGCAGCCAAATGGAGCGAGAATTAGCGCTCGGCGAAAAGGTCTTGGTTTATCTTCACCCATACCAGATGATACGACGACATCAACTGCTTGCAGGAGATTACCAGCGGCGAGAAAGGTTTTGCCAGTGGCTCATGAACAGACCAGCACGATTTCTTCAGGACGTACTCATTGGTGACGAAGCTGGATTTGCCTTAAATGCCTCTCTTAACACCCATAATATCAGAGAGTACTGCGCTCGTGGTGAACGACCGTTGCACTTTCAGTATGAGCGAAATGATGAACGTCACAAGGTTACTGTTTGGGTCGGATTGATTGGTAATGGATCTGTCATTGGTCCTTTTTTGAGCGCTTGGAACAATTATTTGGAAACCGATTTATTGCTTTAAATCGTGCGGTAGAATGGCCACCGCGATCTTCCGATTTGACTCCTTTGGATTTTTTCCTTTGGGGTTACCTAAAGTCGAAGGTTTATGTCACACCACCGGCAAACTTGGAAGACCTTGAAGCAAGAATTCAACATGAGATGGATATCCTAAGACAGGACAGGCAAATGGTTTGGCGTGCTGTTTTTAGTATGATAAGTAGGGCAGAAGTTTGCGTGCAAAGAAATGGAGGACATGTTGAAAACTAACAACAAATTTTGTAAACTCTGCTCTTGTTTGCAATTGTGTACTGTTTGACTTTTTGTGTAGTTTAATTTTAACAATAGCATTATTAGATACAACATCAATGTAAGGTATAACAATAGCATTGTAAGTACGTCATTCAAACCATCAATCATGCATGTAATCATTCTTGCATGAAAAAAGGTTACGCGAGAGCGGAGTAAACGGAAAAAAGGACAATTTTGAAACGTTTCACGGCGGACTTAATGTTTATCAAATTTTCTGAAATTTTGATACATTGCACAAAAGAGTCCAAACTTTCATCTCTTTAAATGAACTTGGATTTTGAACTTCTCATTTTCTTTGCGCAAGAGATTAAAAATGAGGCTTTTACAAACCGTTTTCCTGCTTTTTTAGGTTAATTTTTCTGATAGTTTTTACTGTTAGATAAGCCAGGAGATGCTAAAATACTTAGAAGTAAATACATTTTTGATATATTTTGATAAAATGATAGTTTTTTGGACGTTTTAAAATCTTCTAGTTTTTTCTGATACACCCTGTATAACGGGCCAGTACTCGTGAAACACTCTCCTGTTGAGCATTGATTAAGTTGGTAGGATTTTATCATACAGTATATTTAATTAATAACAAGTTAAATTATTTACGGGTTATGAATTTTCCAATGTCAATGACCATGCAAAGTAGCCCCGGGGCGCTGGTGCCAATTCTTCAATAACAGTTAAAACAAGTATAGGTAAATTAGCTTGTAGGTAAACCAGGAAGATAAGTTGATACTGCAAAGACTTTTAGGCAATGTGTCTGTAATCGGCTGTAATGAGACGGAAGTTGCCTAAAATATCTCATGCATGGGTATACGAAGCATATCAAATAAGTGAACCATTAATTAAGTAGAACACAAAGTTTGTTCCCTTTGGAAGTTAAAATGCATTCTAAGCTCTGTAATAAAAAAGAACATGGAATTAGTTCAATTGGTTCAAACACTTTCGCATTAATTAACAACGTGTTGTTGATTGTAGACAATGGGAATTGTCAAATTCCAGCGCGATTAACTTTGAATTTCAACGGTGTCAGTTCAGTTTTTTTTTTACTCACCCTGTATAATAAAATTGCTTAACATCAAATGATTGCAAATAGTATTTCTTCCAAGAATATCCCCGGAATCTCCCTCTCCGGTAGTAACCAATTTCTATCAGTTCTAAATACATGTCTGGTATTGTCTGCCCATAGAATATAGACGACGAGCATGGCATAAAAACGCCACACGCGAGTTAATACAGCTTTGCATAGCATGTGGTCCCGCGATAGCGTCAACGTTGTCATTCTTTTATCCCCTTCAAATTAATGAGGCACTTTCACGGCAACTGCAACAGCTGTTCAGTTCATTACTTTCATAGTTTATATGGAACTGCATGCAATATCAGCCAGATGTTTGAGGTTCTTAGCAAAATTGAAACGTTTTGTATGATTATTTCAAAGTCCTGGCAGCACAATTAATTTCTCGTAGCTTATTTCTAGCAAAATAATTGACTAGCGACGTCGAACAAACTGCGGCGTAGATCGTAAACCCCCTAATATTCCGTTGAATTATATACATGCAGTGCTGTCAGTGCTTAAACATACTTGTCATAAGTCAAACCAATTAACCTATGAAAGTTTCAATATACCAATGAAAGACAAGTTCGCGCAAAATCAACTTTGTTTGATCACAAGTGAAAAGATTGGAACGGGTTTTACATCTTCTGAGTCAAATTATTAACCGGTGGGAGATTGGCTTCCAGCAATATTGAATTAATTAAAAAGCCCCATAACTATGGAAAAAACGTGGAAAGCCGCCATCTTGGGACTCTAAACGTCGCTGGATATGCGACGCTCTGAATGAGTATATGATATATAATAGGATTATGATGTTCTGAGTTTGCTAAAAACTAAAAACCCTTTGAATAAAATTAGTTTTTAAGCTAATTACATGCATAGTTTAGCTGAATGTCACACATAATAATAAACTTCAACTTCATTGGGAGTGAAATTGGCACTGCCAGCCAATAGTGCTCGGGTATTACTGTAGCCAGATGGAGCACGGTAGGTGTAACCAATAGCTGCATGTGAATTTCTGTTCTTGTTAGCATTGTTTGAGATATATAGATCATGTCCGCCACCAAACGTTGGCCCATATGTCGGGTTTGTGTAAATTGCAAGATGACTGTATCTGTAGACTGCTGATCTAAATGGACTCAAGTTGTCTTTGTTGCGCAGAGAGAAAATGTAGTTGCTCGAGCTTGATCGGTAACCGTCACTGGACCCTAAAATTACAATTAAGCTCATTACAGCGAGGTTTGGTAGTCCATGATAAAAATATTAAATATAAGAGAGCTAATTTATTCCAATTGTGGGTGTCCACCTGGAATAATTTTGAACTACATTCATTGCTTCAAGCTGTTCAAACGCCCTCGGGTGCCACCCATTGATTCGCGGAAGATCAGGAAGCACAGTATGGAAGAGTGGGGTTAAAATAATATAATCATCTTACAACACTCTGTCAACGTTCCCTGTTTCAGAACCTCGTAACATATTTTTATGTCATAAAACTTACCACCCCATTGATAGGTTGAGTATCCACCGAAGATATAATTCCCAACTTTAACCAAAGTTATTGTTTTCCCTCTATTGTCGCATCGTGCATGAAATACACGCGAATCCCAGCCATCCAGTGAAGTTCTCCAACAGCATATTAGCGTATTGAAAGAAAACCATTGTTTCAACAGATTAAGGAAACTTCCAGGTTGACCTTTCAGGACTGTGGAAGCCAGAATATCACCTAATCGTGAAAGGCAGAAATCTAAGGCTTGTACCGTGTGTCCCCTTAAAAAATACCCTCTATTGAAATCATTTTTTTGCTGTTAAGGGTACTTTTTTAGAGACACATACATTGTACGTATAGTTGCATGTTGATATCAGAAACTTCAGAAAACGAATATCCTAATTATGCAAGAGCATTAAAAACTGGCGAACAGTCATTAAGCTTTATAACGCTACACGAATTATTGTTGAATCGTCATCAAACGATCAAGCATGCATTTGCATTAGTGTAACATTAGCCGTACGTCATTAAACAAAGGGGAATTAGAAGACAGATGTTTGCTCAGTACTAAAGGTAGGGAAGGATAGTAACTCATACCAATAGTTAGAGAGCAAATTCTCAAATGTCAATGCTATAGGAGCCAGATGGCTGTATTTTTCATTGCTTAATATATTATATATCATAACAGATATATTGTTTCCATTCGTTTAATCGCGATTTATTAAATTTATTGATCGGTATTTTAAAAACCAAATCTCACATATGACGACGTTTAATTACACTTCAAGCATTATCTGTTATATAGCTATGGCTATATATAATATAATTATAATCAACTTGAAATTAAATAATGAAACGTCGTAATGGGTAAGGTCTATTTTAATTCTCTTCATTATACTGGGTGTATATAAAAAAAAATGCAACCACTCAGTGTTCATATATGTTCGCTTCGTAAGGATCGTAAGATCGTAGGCCCTTGGGAATTATAAGGTTGCGCTTTTTTTATACACCCTGTAGTTTAATGTATAGGTTAATTTTGCCAGTCCTGGTAATTCAACCCTTACAATTCCAGTATGCGCCTGCGATTACAGTCATTACAGTCATTACACTGAAGAACTTTTGAAAAATTAGATCTATTGCAGAAATAAAAATCCATGTATAAATACATACGCGAATACACGAGACGTATCTTTCCATCCAAGGTTTGATTGAACCTGTCAAATTTGCTCTCTATGTCGATTATCTTAAAATATAATGCAAAATTGATAGATAATAGAGATAGGAATCGATAATTCAGCTCATTATTGCACTGCGTGCGTTAACTATTTTCCTTTATTACCAACTACGTTATTTGTATAACACATGCATCCACCTTTTACACAGATCACTCCTTGTTGCTCAGAGTAGTTTAATTATATCTGTTCATTTACAGTTTTCGTGGTTTTATTTAACAGCCAACTATAATTGCATATTTATAATTAAGAGTATAAACCTAAAGTAAGGGTATTCGCAAAGTATACAAAATATATTGTTGTAGAACTTACATATTTTTCACTGAAGAGTTTTTCGGATAAGGGAAATTATACCAAGAGCCCGCGGACCGAATTCTACTTATAACCGTCATCAACATATAGGTGCAGTAACAGATAAGTTCCGAATATAAAAATTGTGTCCGGATTGGCGATTATTTACTACACTATAAATCTATAATTATAACACTTTTAAAAATTGTTTTTCGATAAAAAAATAATAAAATATTGCATGCAGATACCTCGTTGCTCTTGGCGTTGATTTGTCTTTGCAAGTTCGAAACCTGCAATTAATGCAAATAATTGGATGCAAAAATTATGAAAGGAAATCAAAGACAATGCCATTCCATTTTTTAAAAATATATTTATATATATAATATTTCTCTTCCAAAAATTCCAAATAATCAATAATCTCTTCCAAACCAGTTTAGTTCACCTCTTGTGCTAAATAAAAAATTAAAAAATATACCCGATAAGCTTATATTTATATGCACTATCACATATAAATGAGGTTGCCCCGAAGCAGAACGAAAAAGTTGAAAGGCTTGAATCTTTATCTTTCTATCTACTTGGTGGTTCAGACGCTTGCCTTCAGATTCATACCCCTACTTTTCTTAATTTTTACAATATACAAATATTTCAAACCAAACCTTGAGCAGAACGAGCGTTTCTTAATTCATTTTCTAATTGCAAAATCTGTCAATTAAAAGGTCAAGTGATTGATTTAAAAAAAATGTCATTCTGTGTACAAAAAATTGTTTGATGCTTTATCACGTCCTGTGTATGAGCCGCTCCGTATAAGCTCAGGAACAGGCGTAGGAACTAGGGGGGTGGGTGGGGGACGTCCCCCGCAACTTTCATTGTTATGGAGATAAGTACTCTTTCTGCACGACTAACATTTTTACGAAGTTTCTACGAAAGATATATTATATAGCTTATCGGAATGAATGTGATAAAAAAATTGTCAAAACTGCACATCCCGCTGCAGAGTGGGGCTTTTTTCCAAAAATTTCTGGTTTGTCGCGTGCCCCGTATTACCTACGGGAAATACCACTAACGGAATGTTTAGCTAGTAGAAAAATTATTTTCTTGACAGTAATTTCTTGTATAAACTAGGGATCCAAGGATAGCGCAAAGTTTTGATGTCCTGTAATACCTAAGCAACACGTTTTCCCAACATAAACATTTTGACTTATGCCAGTAAAAATATAATGAACCAGGTTAAACATTAATCAAAAGGAAATTACTCAAAGTACTCAAGTTACGTTAGTCGCGGATACCGGTATTGTCACTATTAAATTATAATTTTAGTTGCGCATGTAAACCGGGCGCGATTTTCTCAGTTTAGTCTCTTTTCTTCGTCAAACAACTGTGACTACATTCACTACATTTATATGATGGCAACAATTTATCCGTCATTTCATAAGAATAGCCAAAATAGTTGCGTTGTAAATAATGTAAAAAAACCGGTGCATATTATGTCTATGATGTGGATACTTCGACGCGTAAATCGATACAAAACAATATACTTATAATCAATACTGTATACCGCCAAAATGATTTGATTACTGCACAATGCCCGTTTTGTATAGTATCATTTATGTACTGTATGCAGAATACAAGGTATCGACTTGCTATCGACAAAATATATATTTGTCATTCGTGTAAGAGATTAGAGATCTATCAATACATAAACAACACAGCGTCGTTTCTTCCTAACCTCTTATGAAGCTCTATTTATGGAATAAACCTTCCAAATTATATTTGTGTCGAATTGAATGCTCGTATTTCATAACATAAGTTCATAAATTGCGTAGATTCTCAAAGAATTGCACGATTTTTACGCCCGGAATGTTTTGAAGCAATGCTCGTCGCTCCTCGTTTCTTTACATCGTGAATAATGTTGAAGGCTCGACGGCACATGCGCAGTTGCGACGTATAGGAAAAAAATCGGGTGTTCCGGGGGCAAATCTGCGCAAATCCCTTTGAAACAAAACCCAAACCGCGGAAAAGCAATGCTTCAAAATTTACAGTAACGGTCAAAATTCCTCAATATTTTGGTGAACTTAGCAAAAGGGATGTAGAGAATTAATAAATAAAGCAAGTTAAACTGATTTAAAAACTTTAAATTACTGATCATATACAAAAAGGTACTATACGCATAAATCAATCTACCCCCCGTAAAGTTTACACTATGACTGACTGTCTGACTGACTGACTGACTGACTGACTGACTGACTGACTGACTGACTGACTGACTGACTGACTGACTGTCTGACTGACTGACTGACTGACTGACTGACTGTCTGACTGACTTACTGACTCGTTTGAATTTTCGCCACTCATCACAATACTGCAAAGTTTCTCAAACTTTGCACTAAAAAGTGCCATTGAGTACCTGAGCCCCCCCCCAACTTTTATAACCTTGCTTCTATCCCTTGCGGCGAGGTAAGTTTCACCTTTCCTTTTCTTACCTTACGCTGATCCGCTACTCTTCGCCAAGCATCTCGTGATCTTAAATAAAGTCGATCCGTGTCTTTTCTGAAGGCAAGTAGTCCGGTTATATCAGGTAATGGTTTATCACTTGGAACGACAGCAACCTGAGATGTTCAAACATGACTAATTATTAAAATAACAATAAGTTATATTCGTAGTTTTATACCGTTCACAGTTGGATGTTCGTAGTGTGGTTTAAATAACAAGTTTTTCATGGTCTTTTTTTTATTTCCATCCTGATATTTAGCGCACCGAATTTCCTAGTCCGAATTTCAAAAATAATTGCAAATGCAAAAGAGCATTTCATAGAGCGCGTAGAAGCCGCATATTATTTCGCCATGTTAATTGAACTTCAGATTGCATGAAGCCGCATGACTGCACGCAAATATAGAAGTATTCTATTTCAACAATCACCTTGACATGCTAAAATTATTCCAAATAGAGTATTTTTTTGCGGACCCTGTATTTACCATTTCCTTTGACTTTCATGATCAAAATACATTATTTTAGGAGCCTGAATACACACAGTAGGAATATTTTAATATTCCAAGCGTTGAGCTACTTTGGGTATTACCTAATCAATCGACATAGTACATACCCCATCATTCAAAAGCACTGTTTGTTGGTTACACCGCCCCTAAAAATATAAATGTTAGCTACAGATGAATTAATAATTATAGGGAATTAGTGTTAAAACAATTTTCTATAGAATTTTTATTCAAATAATATAAGTGAAATTGTTTGTGCAGTCGAGGTCTACAACGACGTTTGTGAAAAAAATACCTTGACTGGAGTAGGGTTTCCATTTATCAGTTTAAACCATTCAGGTTGATCATTGTCTCCTTGTTTTTGAAATTCCATACATTTTTTCCAGACATTTTTGGGAATGGCAGTCCTTACCCAAAACCAGACGTGAACATTTTTTAGAACAGTTCCACCGTTAAAAGCTTGGCATTCGTCTGAACAGTAATCTTTTGCACCGCCATATGGCCCAAAACAAGCACAGCACTGTAATTGCAATTTATTGATTGCAAGACAAAACATTAATAAGATTAGTTTATGGAAAACTATAGCTCATTCGACTTCCTTTCCTTATATATTTCCGGAGATTTACCTTGCCTTTATCACATCCAACGAAGGAAGTTGAATTATACGCTGTACCCGAGACTGGTCCATTTGCACTGTAGCTAAAATTATAGATGTCGCCAATTTCTCGTTATACACGTTCAAAATTACTATATAACTTTTTATCTAAAAACATCAGCATAGCTAAAAAGAGCGAGTGTGGTTAGAGTTTAGAATAATAAATTCTGCGAATAGGTGAGAGTAAAAGAGTTAGTGGCATTTCATTCCCTCTCCGAATTAAGACTCTAAAACCCTTTAGCAATTATATACTACATCAAAAGTATGACAAAACCTTATAATAATTAATCAATACCCTTTCGTATATTGACTCATAATATATTCCTATACCTGAATGCACCAAAATAGTCTACTTGAATTGGAAGATCACGGATGTAAGCAAATCCAAGACGACATGGGCTTTGTAGACAAGAGTTCATGCTTGCCTGAATAAAAATTAGCATGAAATGAAAAATTTTTTCTAAATTTTGTATGAACCTACTGCTCGACCTGTTTCTTCTATATTCATGTATATGGTGTAACAGAAAAGGCGCGCTATTTCTATTAAGTACTTAATTTCATAAACTACATTAGTAAAGCGAACAATATTGATACTAATAAAGAAACAAGAGAAAATCGAACCGGCAAAATAAGCCATGTTTAATAGTCATGTGATTTTGTAACATGGACAACCTTTTTGACAACGACTATAAAGATATATTTAGGCAGTTACGCCTCCATACACGCATTCTTCGCGCATTAAAATCAGTAACTGAAACATACCCAACCGAATTTGGTTGCTGCATGGTACGGGACACCAAATTTAGCGCAACGAAAGTTCGTAGTAACAATCTTCTCCGTCATTAGGTCTTTCACATGAGCAATATCCCCAATGCCAGGCGAGTTAGCATCGCATCCTTTCTCTGCCATTAACATAAGGTTCTTTAGAGGTCGCTTGCTGTTCAATCTGTATGACCTATAATATATATATGATATGGTAAACAATTACTTCTTTTGTTTTTAGTAATATGAAATTTTGAAATTATGAAATATATTCAATAATTATTTAATATCTTGTATAAACGAGTTCTTGCCATTTTGGTCAGCGTTACACCGACTTATCATGCATGAAACAAAATAAATACGTCATAATTGTTTGAAACTTCTTACCAATGTGCTTTTGTATCTTTAAATTCCGCACTTGATGATACCTGAACCCGGATGTCTAAAATTGGAGTATTTCCTAGAACACTTGACCAGCGCGGTGAATCGAATGGATCTACTGGTTTATTAGTAGACGGAACATTCCACGTGACAGAAGAATTTTGGTAACCAAATAGGATGAAACCTCCCCCATCGGTAGTCATGTCGCACCATACCTATTGTTAGTCAAAAATATAATCATACTTTAATTTGATTAACCCAATACATTAGTTTGTCTTGAATATGCGATGATAAATTTAGATTCAGTCCTATATATTAGTTCTACATAATTTGCAATGTTGAATTCGCGTAAGTACGCCAAATCAAATTCGCGTCAAATTCCCAAATGTGCAAAACATACTGGATTATTTCGGAATATCCAAGTTATAGCCTGCATGAGTATACTCATGCTCAGGATAGGCCTCTCAGAAAGACCTTAATAGAGAACAGATTGTGATTTACAACATAATGGTTCGTGTAAATAGCAATCTCCAAATATCTCCAAATGATTTTTCAAAAGGTACTATTGTGTTTATCAGGAACGTTTATACTATAAAATGTCAAATTTCACGCCTTGTATTTTTGTCGTTAAGTCCAATTCCATGCTAATGTCGAACGAAATTTGTCATCCAGGCATGTGAGACAGATATATCAATATACATGCACCCCGCCCCAAATTAAGCTTCTAGCTACAGCCTTGCTAACGAAATTTAAATTTCTAGGAAGTGTTCTAAAGTCAAATACATCATACAACAAAGATTGGTAGAATGTATGTTAATTAAACAAGTTATTTCTAACCTTCTTTGGAGTCGCCTCATTTAAATGAATCCAATAGAAACCATCTTTTGCATTGAACCTTTTATTCAAAATATCTGCGCAATCATAACTTGGGTTGATAAATTCTCCGAGAGTCATCGAACCTTGAAAGTCAAAACAGAGTCAACTTTCTGAATACTGCCCGGCTCCTCTCCAGGCCTTTCTTGGTTTCGGTAAATGGATATTTTTAAATTGCTTCCCATTATTCCCCATTATTACGCTTTACTCAATTGCAAGCTTCCATTACCCCCCTCTGCAGTTGGTGCGAGGCAGCCCTCGATACCTTTTGGGTTTCGAATTTTGGGTTGTTTCCACTTCCTATTTATAGATACCCGTATGCGTTCTCTCGTAAAACGAGAATTCAACTCACCCCACTTATACGACTGTTGTTATTTCTTACCGTCTGTACTTTTCCATTTGAACACTCCTTTTACTTGGGAGCAAATAAAAAGACTGTCTTCATCTTCACGGTTTTTCACCAGTTTTAGTTTACCGTGATTGGTTTTATTGCATAACCCAGGGTCATATCCGGTTACAATGTCTACCGCGTCATTCTAAATAATTTTATAATGAATAAATATCGCAAAGTGCTAGCGTAATGTAAAAGTTCATAAAACGTTTATAACTAAATTCATGCTATTGGCCCTACGAAGAATATAGGTTCCATATTCTTACTTAGTTCTCACTGAACCCAGACTGAAATTTTAATTCGTAATCACAACTTCAAAATATGTAGCGAACAACCCACAGCTTATAAATACATAGAGGCAATGGTGCTCAATTGCCGGTGAATTACAATCAATTGATAGATATATTTGTGAAATGAGTCTAACTATTACACATCTGTAATTCTCCACAAAGATCTCATGAATTAGTAATTCATATCCCTTTGATACACTTTAGTCGATATAGTTTAGTATATTCATAAGTCATAACTTAGTTACACACGCGCAATCTATTCATTTCACAAGCACATTAAACTCGCGGTACTACGTACTCGCCATCGTAAATACCCTACTAGTACATATATAGAAAGACCTGAAAATATCTAAAAATACAAAGTCATTGATTCAGAGAAATATTTTGAGCTCCAGTGGTGTACGTATTCCAAACAGCTGCGCGCGTTCATGCGCGAACATATATCGATTAAAAAATACAACATAGCTATAGACCTAGTTCAAATATTTATTTGTATATATACCTCTGATAAAGCACCCGCCAATATTGGTAAAATTACCAAAACTGATGGTAAACACCAAAGAGCAAAACGCATTTCTTTAATTAAGATTGAAAATCTGAAAAATAAAATGACTTTTAGTTCATTTCAAAATAGGAATATGCGCAGTAGATATATTGTAGATGCTATAGCCACCTCAACATATAATTATTTTATTAACTTCGGAAACCAAGTTATAGTAAATCAAGGTGAATTTATGAAACAAAGCTTTTTTATATAGATTAAACTACAGATCGCTGTACGTGTTGCACAGAATCTATAGTTATTATTTTTAAAATCGCAATATATTTTGCACATTTAAAAGCCTTGAAAAAGCCTAATAAAATGGCAGAATTATATATCATTCAATATGAAGAGCTACTCGTTGAGATATTCCTTAGTAATTTTGAGGTTGGAGAGATTTGAACTTCTCCGTGCACACCGTACTGAAAAAGCGCGATACTTGATACATACTATGGTACTGCTGCAGTCAAGACTTAAGAGCATTCTCCGGTCGTCATTGGGCGAAGGGGACTCAAATTTGGGGCATGCTGACAGCATCGGCCATTGCCCATGCATCATAACTCTTTGATTTAAGGTTTATTTATCATAAGTGCAATATACCTGCCTATGTGGTGCAATATATAAATGAAATTTTCAGTTTTTAATTAGTCACAGCCGATCGATGACCACGCCAATTTATCAACAAAATTAACGCACTAGCACAAAAGTCCCCACTTTAACTTTCTTTGCTGCAACGGCTCTCCCTTAAATCACCCAGCATACGGTAAAAATATTTCCCAAAGTTGCTATAGGTATAGTGTAGGTTTCTTTTAATTTCTTATTATACATATGTGTATATGTGAAATTCAATACATTCATATTTTAGATCGTTTAAAAACTGTCTTGAACAGTCAATATTTACCAATTGATAAATTCGCTGTATAAGATGGATTTTAGCAAATACTACTATGAATAACTATATGTAAAATAGGAAAACACATTCATAGTGATAAATGAATATTAATTGGATATACAAAGATATTCCTAATACCTTCACTTTAAATTTGACCAAAGCTCTCTGCAGTTTCCAAATAACTTCGTGTCTGAGAGTTTGATGCTTAACACCTGTACTTATCATTATATCGGACGTACCAGGAAGTCCGAAAATGAAACCGTATACTTCATTAGGTGCATGGTGATAGATCCTGCATTATAAATATATAGTGACAGTATATCTAATGATGGTATGTAGGAAATAATATGAGCAGCATAACAAATAATGAGCAGCTGGAGTTTTTTTTGAGGGAGAAAAATCGAATATTTTCGGTGGAACTGTTAAGTGCAACTAATTAAAATTCCATCCGAAACTAAATGTTCTCTCCCTCTTGAGTTTAAGAAAAATTCTCTGAGACAAGGTCATGACCTCTGCTGTCGTATACTTCCTGTAATCAAAAAATCAAAACGTATGTTTTCTATATATGTTCAATGCTTTTGAACAGTATGTTGAATACTTGGACTGAATCATATATATGCCTGAGGATATTGTTGCATCTTGCGAAAAAATACCCAGTTAATTAAATAAGATTATACAGTCTGATCCACTAACTATCTTGGCTGGTAACGCTGTTGCAAATCATGTGGGATTTGTCACTTTACGCTGAGACAAAGGTGATGGGTAGAAGCTTTAAAGTGCCCCTGACACAAAATGCGATTTTTGCACCATGGAAAGTACGCATTTGTCCGAGTGTTATGGTGAAAGAATTTTTCGATTTTAAAAAAAGGAACAAATTTTAGAGCCTCTTGAATCGATATATTTTTGAACCCATGGCCGTCGTAACAGAAGACTGGGACTAGCGATTTTCGTGACGTCACGCAAGTGAGTCGCTGCAAACTCACAGTGTATTTCCTAGGGTTCTATGCTGTTTTTAATACACATTATTTCAAATCACGTCGACCGCAGGATTCAATTTTTATACTAGGTATCAGGATTAAGGTTAAATGTTATACGTTGCATCGTCGGAAGAGAAGATGCTGAAGAATAAGGGTATTTGAAGCGCGATTTGAAGCGCGCATGCTATGATGAGTCGCGATGACGACTCAGAATTGTACCCGCTTTAGCATGTGGTGAAAAGCCTCTAGATGACAATGAATAGACAGAAGCCTACCAAAAGCAAAAGGCACAGAAAGATCTCATAACAAACTGCGTGTAATGTATGAAATGCCAGACGGGTTATATATAGCGAATAGTCATCACAGTTTCGACCTATAGTCGCGACATGCCGAATTTGTAATACACTGATTTTGACCGTGATCATGCAGTGTGTTGTCTTTTGTCTTTATACGTGTAAAATGCGAAACCGATCGATCTCCTCACGAAGCGAAATGTCTGTTTATACTTTTACAGATATAAATGTACGGAGTCACTTATATGAGACCAAGACGCGAATTTAAAATACGTAACTTTACACCATAGTTCTTTGTTATTTACGTACGGGCATATATTAAATCCTCACTGAAACTATATTTAATATCGGGTATGTTATTATGTTTATAGCTACAAAAAAACTTTTAAAATGTGCGTTCACGTAATGAGACAGGTTTCTGCGTCATGCGCATAAAACTCTCAACGATAGACATAAGTTAGTATGCTTATACAGAATATAGCTGAACATAGTTATATCTCAAAAGCACTCAAAAGCCGACTCACTTGTATGACGTCAAAAATTACCCTCGTTCCAGTTTCCTTATAACACGGACATGTACCACTGGAAACCCCAAATTTGAGGCTTTCAAACGGCTCTAAAATTGCGACGTTTTGATGAAATCGAAAAATTCTTTCAGCGAAATACTCGGACACACGAGTCCTTTACACAGTGTAAAAATCGCATTTTGTGTCAGGGGCACTTTAACACATTCGTTCAATTAGCTAAACATATAGTCCAACATTATAGTGTATTACTCCAATATTCACGGGAAAGGCTTCTATAGACAACAAGAGGAAGGGTTGTGAATAACTCAGTGCTGGTTATTCCGAAAATGCTTTATTCATGATTGTTTGTGTTAATCAGACGTATTTACAACACTAGGCGCGCGCAATTGTTGTTGATGATGAATAAGGAACATCGTGTTGAACTTGTCTCAACACGAAGTTAGGAAACAACCGCCACTTGGGTCTTGACAATATTCATTCCTTATGAGTTGCATGGGGATTACACGAAATGCACAATATCGCGTTTCACTTTCTGCCATGCAGGGTCGTAACGAATGGATGATGATTTTCGGCAAAATGACATTTGTAGGCAAATTAGACAATTTTAATTGATTGTGATTTTAAAGTATACTTTAATTGATAAACGACAGCGCGTCTCTGAAAAATAGAATTCTTCCTTTCAACTGAAAGGATTTTATTACGTTGAGTTCTTCAACTTACTGTATTTAACCACTCAGCTCAGTGCAACCTATCTGCTGACTGCAATACTGGAAGATCTGCACAACGGACAGCTTCGTTAAACTGGAACCTAACATTAAAACGTTCATATATAGATCATAAAGTTTCCAGTTTTTCTTCAGCAAATTTCACGCTTTGCTGCGGTCCTTGTCTCGGCCAAAGTCTATTTGGGGGTGTTCAGAAATGTTTGACCACCTCCATAATTTACCGACTTTTGGGCCTCAATTTATGAGTCAAACACGTAACACCATGTAGGTCGTACTTCGAAGAGCCCCCAGCACTGCTGGGAGACGTGAAGTTGCGAAACGCAAGAAGTTCGTGAAAAAATCAGAGAAAACTTCTTTTAACTGGAAAATGTTTTTTATTGTCTTTATAAAATTAGAGTTCTTGCTAAATTACACCTCAGGCATTTGTTTTCATGGAAACCTCAAGTAAAACCGGAAAACTCGCAAGAAATATCTAAATAAAAAGTTAGGAAGGAAATATATCTAAAATCTCAAATATTCCTAAGCCCTTCTGAATAATTTCAATCCTGATTACTTAGCTGACAAACTTTTCAGCTTCCGTGGAAAAGGATATTTTTGAAACTTCCAGATTACCAGTTTTTTGTTGCAACCCACACAATACCAACACGCAATGGTTTGACATAATGTTTAGGATCACATAAGTGAAGTCTGCAAAAAGGCTGGCCAGAGAGTGGGAGTGATCATGAGATTACGTAACATGATTCCGACAGTAGCCAAATTACAATTGTATAATGCGGCAATCCTACCTTACCTTACGTATTGCAGTGTGATCTGGCACCATTGTAGGGGAAGTGATACACGAAAGATAGAACGTGTACAGGAAAGAGCGTTAAGAGCAGCGTATTGTGACTGGAATGTTTCTTATAAGCGGTTATTAGAATGGGCTAAGCTACCAACCTTGTTAACTCGCATTGCGCAATGCGCAAGCGAGTTCTTAAAATGGGAAGCGTTCTTAATATTTTTATGGTCGAGAATTTCGCGACCCGCAAGGTGCGATAAGGTGGGCTGACCTGCAAGCCACGAGCTACGCAGGCGTGGTTGCTAAGCTAACGTGCATGCTGCACTGCTGAGTGCATTCGTTCATGACGTTCATCGTTTTCTTGTGGACAAGACGATAAAAATTCAAGATATTTCGAAATGTGGCTTCCAAGTGCCATATTCATCTTAAAGCTTATCTTCTCTGACACTTAAATAAAGTTATTATTATTATTATATTATTATTATAATATTATGAATCTTTTGTAAATACCAGTGGATATGAAAACTCGGTACATAAATTCGACGCTTTATATGCCTTTGTTATTGTTTACGCAATCTTTTACTCGATACAAACAATGAATTTATGGCATGGTGAAGCAACTGTTCAATATTATCACCTCGTGCAATCACACAACCATACTCTCAAAATATTAACATTAAGCAAAAATTGTGCATGATTTTCGTTTCTGTCTCAACACAGCCTCGTACCCAGGCGCTTTAATAGTAAAATATATACGTTGCCTTCAGTTATTGTATAGAGGTCAGCTGAAAAAAGGCAAGCGCGCGCCGCGCGGGGCTGCTTGGGATGTCAAAATTGAAACCACACAATTTTACGTCATGGATGGCTACAAAATAGTGAACGGTATACAGTGTGTGTGTAGAAAAAAGTGTATATGATATTCTTCTTTAGCACAAATTTTTTTTTAGCACAAGTACAATAGATCGTTGGCCTCTGGGAATTTAAAATGATTTTAATCGTACGGTTGAACTATCTGCGCTGAGCTAAAAGCGCAAGTTCCCCCAATGTGCGGCGACGTTTTTCGAGTTTTTTTTACGCGTGATATTTGAATATTCAACATTCTGAATCTTCAACATGTTGAATAATTGGTGCACGAGTGCATATTTCCCACACGTGTACGTGAGTGAATTCCTGCAGTAAAACAGCTAATAAACATATGCAAATTTGCATATGCATATCAGCTCGTCATTGTCGGCTTCGATAAATAAAAATCTTTTTTTGCAGTTTTGAAACGAACAGTGATGCAGAAGCACATATTAAACTAAAACAGCGGATTAAAGTACAACCCAGTGTTACTGTGTTAGCGCCGTCCCCAAGATAACTTTGAAAAACTGGCCCCTGCCGGGCCCTGGAGGTTTGAGTCGCGCACTAAGTCTGGTGCATGCAGATGTATATCTGACACCTCGCAAAAAAACGTCAGCGCAAGAAAGAAACTTCGTGAGTTAAAGGCATAAAGCCCCGAGAGGTCCTCAGTTCAGCTGCCCGTGCGCGCGAGAGGACATAACCAGACCAAAATAACTGACTCGTTTACGAAGTCATTAAGCACAATATCGTGCTGATGTTTGATTACTTTTTTTAGATATGTACTAATACAGTGTACATTTTTTGCACTGTGTACCTTTATGATTTATATAATAACCTATAAACTACTCTATACAAGCTATACTAAACAAGTTTGTATCGAATTTTAGCAATAGCCTTCAAATAACTACCCAAGAAAAACTGATTATTAAACTTATTGATAACAAAGGTGAATTCCCAAAGGTAAGGTTTTACCCCCCTGTAGGCTTCCCCAAATATCAGAGTCTTTCATAACTCATCAAATTACACATACAGGACAGGCTATCGCTCGCAGTGAAACTGACATCGTACAAAATGCGAAATTCAATCGTTCGTTTTCGTTACGTCGACTAATATGGGCTGGGGTTACGATTAAAAAATTTAATTGTGTCGCGTATCTCAATTCGGCAATATCCATGCACTCTAGTCTGAGCTGAAATACCGCGAACAAATAGTACACTGTAGACGCATGTACCTTCAATCAAATTTGGAAATACCTAAACCTGGTTTCAAACACTCGCAGACAGTCTGCGACTTCTATTGTCGGTGGTAACTGATGTCCAAAATGTTTTGTCCATCGAAAAAGAAATTCCTACCTACATTGGTCACTAACAATGGATCGCAGAGCACCGCAGACTGTCTGCAAGTGTTGAAAACAATGCTTTAAATTGACGGCACATGAAAACGTGATTCCACTTCATCGTTGATCCCATCGTAGAAAAATATTGTCGCACTGGAATTTCTGTACACCAAGCGATAAATAACATGGGACCATTTTTTTATTGATTTGGATAATTGATTCTTTAAAGATCTGGGAATCGGTGGGGATCTTCCTACATGATAACAAACTGTACTTAGAATACTCGCACTCAAATTTAACCTAAACTGGGGTTTTTTTCCACCTACGTAACACATCCCGGTTAAAATAATTAATCATTTTTCTAGTTAAAAATGCTAAAAAGATTTGTATGTGTTCAAATATATTAATAATTAAAGCTCGTATCTTTTTTATGCACTTACCTTAAAGTCTCTAGGTATGAAGTATCTCGAGGCAGGGATACTTATATCGGCGTCAAATTTTTGAAATGTGACCCTGGCCACAATCGTAGGCAGAACGGGGATTTCTAGTGAAAAATATATTTAAAACTTTTAAACTAGATGAAGTATTTAGAAAATGATGCCAAATGCAACAATGCAACAATGCAAACCCACAAGAGGACAGCACAAGAAAATTAGATGTATTTTCTTCACATCGCTTCTATGTTTGATTTTACAGACCCCAATATGTTATCAATCGTGGAAAAATAACGCGTAAAAACTTACCAACTCGGACAGGAAAACCAGGCGGTAATTTCATCGACACAAATTCCTTCAATTTATCGAAATGTTTAAAAGGAGCTATAACCTCAAGAACATTCAGTAAACTGAAAAAAAAGAAGAAAAATATTATAACTGTGATACATTTAACAATGATACCATGAGCTCGAGTCGTAGCTAAATGATATATTATTATTTTAATATATGTATATACTATTTCAAAAACTATGGCCCATTCAAACGGTCGATTGTGCACATACGCCAAATAGGAATTGCATAGGAAAATTGTATCCTGTAAATGAGTTTTCAGTTTGTCCTGTTTTGAAGATACTAAAGTTTTACAAGTTGAACTTACGGTTCCAATTGGAGAGGAAAGTCTTCGTTCTGAGAAACATAAGTTACGTGTTAAAAGGTAAACTCTATATAGTTTGCACACAAACACACAAGCCCCTTCTCTAATTGAATTAAACATACATTCACACACCCCTGTCTATCAAAGCCCCAAAGAGTCTTGCAACAACCGTAAAATTACGTCTGTAAAAGTCCCTCCTAAATTGGGGGCAAAGGGATGTACGTGCACGCATGTATGGTGTAGAATAGGTGATCTAAATACCGAAAATCATACCATTGCCACAGTAGCTTTTATTGTTTTCTTATCTTCCTTAACCGTCAGACTTCGACCTAAAGTTGGAACGCTGAAAAAACAAACATGATTAACGTCTTGGTTGGAGTCGCCCAACACGTGCATGATATGCATTTACTTACTTCTCTGTTTCAGAGTTTATATATGACTCCCACGTGCAGCTCTCTACTTTTGGTGGAACCAAAGATTTTTTTCGCTTTATCTACACAAAAGCACATCATTATTTTATTAAACAAGTGTGAACTATTAGCTACATTCGGCATCGTTAAATACCGTAATATATTTATGTAGACACTGGATTTTATACAACGAAATCAATTATCCTTTTTTAAACGTTCCTTTATTATTCAAGGTCATTCTTACCTCAGGAACAGCATCCATGGTTGTCGACCCTTTACTAATACTTTCTAAGACAGCCTGCAGAGAAATACTTGTGTTTTGTAAAAGCTCGAGAGCGCAGTAACATTCAGATTTTTCGGCGTGATACAGTAGCAACTCATTTCAAGGAGCTACAGTATACTGTACCTTGTTCTTTACAATATCCTCCTGAGTAAGATGCTCTCGCCTAAAAAACAAAATATCGTGACAGGAGACGTGACTAAATAACTGCACAAAATGGTAGTGCAAATAGCTTTAGAAATTGCAAATAAATGTCTTAAAGGTAGCTACTTTACAAATGAAAAATTGCCTGATTAAATACGAGAACGTTTAAATAAAACCATAGCCCATAACGTTTAAATAAAACCATAGCTTTTTGTCTTCAACTTTTTTTTGCATGGAAAAATCTCGTTTTCCGAACAAACCTTTTTCTGGTAACAAGAATCATTCCGTTCACATCATAAACATTGGCAACATAAGTTCCAATATTTTCCTAAAGGCCAAAATATAAAATTGCACATGTTTGGATTCTAAAAATCTACAATAGCGTTTCTTTTAAAAATTTATTGATTTCACTAAGAAAAAATATTTGACAGACAATTCCGAAAATCGGCCATATTGTGCTGTCGTCATATAGTTATCACAGGTAGTCCCGTAGTGATTAGTGAAATTTTCAGCAATTCAACTGTATTTTTTTAAAAGCTAATCCCATCTAGTCTAATCTTTTAAAAGCTAACCTCATCTTTTAATTTTAAAAGCTAATCCCATCTACTAAAATCCAACCCTATGTCATTAGTTTTTTATCGCTTATAAAAACAAGAGCCTCCTTAAAAGGTTTTAAAACATTACGACTTACAATTTTGTCTTCTTTAAAAAACCAACCGTCTTGCGACCGTGAAAATGTTATCGGTTTCGTTGACATTGTGGCTGAAACTATGTCACTGAAACGGATGAAATGAAACTGCTGCTGAGTAAACCGGACGCTGAATTTCATATGCATGTCCATTCCGATGCTATCTAATCCATCATTAAGTAAAATGATTGAATATCCAAAAGCTCTAACTAACGTAGATTGGTCATTAGAAGTAAAATTTTAAAAAATAAAATAAAAATAAAAAATAACCAACCATACCAGCTCATTAAAAGGTCAACTTCTTCGTCTATCTCAGCATCACTTTCCTAAAAAAATTCCATACATGCACAAGACGCCTTTATAGTTGCGAGCAAAGTGCGCGCGCTTAGCTAGTAGATTAACCACTAATTTGGGCTACTGATATCATAAATGGGCGGGACGGACAGTCATACCCTTTGTGATTAAAAAAATATATATAAATCTCAAGCATGACAAACATGCTTGTAAATACTAAGCATTTTTGGTTTTCATTTGTCACAAATTCTTGACATTGTATTATGCCATACATACAGATAAGCGTTACAACATGCAGGAAGTAATCTGCTCAAGTTGAGCGTCTTTACCTGATCTTGCATTCGCTGGAAAACCTTCTTTTCGTTGTCAAGTATAGCAAACGATTTTTTACCTAATAAATATAAAGAATGATATACCATGAAAATATGTTACTAGGCTATCCATGTTTTACCGCATTAAAACACAGTACAGCACATGTATACAAATTTGTGTAACCTTCACTAAATTGCGCCAGAATGATCACAGATTCTTAAATTTACATTTTTTTGACTAAAAACGTATAAACTCAAGCATAGAGCAGGTTCAAAACAGTGTATTGTTTGATATATTCTTTCTTTTTTATGCAATCCTGACGTGCAGTGTGATTAGAATCTTTCTTGGATGTAGTAGCTGCTACAACATAACAAACCTTCTGCCTCGCCATTAAAGATTATACTTATATCACCACGTTGCCATTTCATGTCTGCAAAGTCAATAAGTGTGCTATCTAACCTGAAAAAAATAAATTTTGAAGAATCAATAGTGAGGTCCATAGGTTGTGTTAAAATATGGATAAAACAATGTAATATACTACAGGATTATGTTCATTTCTACAATATAATGCCTTACCTTATACAACAACCTTTCTTATAGATCTTGCATGTATCTGATGGCAATATTCTAGACACTAGTGGGACTATTAAATATAAAAGAGACTGAATAAATATTCAGAAGCAAATATATGCTGAAGGGTACCACTAAAGATTGTTAAGAATAAAGTATAAACATTATTCTTAAGAAAGCAAATTTTTATCAACACTCACTCCAACTCGAGAAATCCCATTTTAATTCAACGTAAAAATCTCCAAGCTAAAAGAAGAATGCTCAAATTTTGAGAAGGTGTGGCACAAAATGAATTGCATTAACTTTTTAGTCTTGTTGCTTAAAACATTAATGAGCAATTGGCATGATTAATTATTACAACTATTATGTAAACGACACACTGTTCTGAAAAAAGTTGCACAAAATACATTGACAACTGTTAAAGGAAAATAAAATGTTTATGACAGAATGCTATAAAAAGTTAGCACAATAAATAAAGTTTTCTATTAATTCAACTACTATATAACTAAACAAGTATTTTAGCAAGACAATTTACAGTAATTGATGTAAATTTGTAATAAACAGTACCCCTCGTAAAGCTTCTATTAGTTCTGGCCGATTCTTGTCCACACTCTGTTGATTTTGTTCTTTCATTTTTCTTAAGACAGCTTTGACTATAGTTACACAAAAAATACAAAAAGATAATCTCAATGAAGATCAATATATAGGTAACTAATTCATCAACTAATAAAGCTGATGTGGATTGCAAACATGTCCAAAGCACATTAATTACACAAAGCAAGGTCCATATCAATAGCACTGCACATGTATATGACATCTTGATGCCATATGATAAAGACCTTTACCTACAGTGTGCCCAATCTATAGTTTAGTTTAGTTTCATACCTATTGATCTGCTTCCCCAGCTAATAGCTTCAGCAAGTGGACTCCATCCAGCTTCATTTTTCACCTTGATTGGAGCATTTTTTTCAAGAAGCAGGAACACACATTCTGTAACACAAAATATTGTCATTTCCTTAGCAGAATCATGTATACCATAAACCAAACAAGTAGCTTTTGTATTACTTTTCATATTCAACCTGCCCCTAGAATGCACAATTACATATGAAAACCTACCCTTGTGGCCAAGCATGATTGCAAGGTGCAGTGGAGTATTACCTTAAGATTAAAAAAAATGTATAAAGTGCTGTTATATTATTGTTATAATATTACATACAATATCTGTAAATAAATTGACAGAAAACATGACCTTATGTATATTTCATTCCTTTGACTATATTTATATTTTATTAACAATTAGATAGTAATTGTATTTAATGACTGTCACCTTTGTAACTCAACACAATATACATAATATGTACAGGTATTGCAGAAAAGAGAATCGTCTTTTATTGAAAGAAGGGCATGCAGTGCTTTCTGACAGACAGCCATTGTGCTTTGTTTAACTTAAATCATAGAGCAACATTTTGAAAGGAATTGAATCTATTTACATATGGTTTGACACATTTTGGGATGTTGCATCACTGAGACCCACCTGTTGTTGTATGTTTTATGGAGAATGCTAATAGCAGTGAAACATAATGCTATTACTTTTATAAAAATAGTTGATATAACAATCTTTGTTTTTTGGAGTTTTATTAAAAACCAAGTGTGAGAGGCAGCTAACAAGCTGAATTGTTCAGGACTTATTACAAGTTTAGTACACATTCAAATTATATATATATTAAAAATTATCATGATAGAGAGTTATTGTGGTAAACGATACTGGACAGGACTGTGTATATTAATATTACTTTTGAATATTCTATGAGTATTGACAGTATTGAACTGAACATATAAAGACCAGTTGGGACGAGTATATTTTTTTGTGACAGGTACAATTTAAATTGATCCTGGTTATTTGACAGGCCTCCACGCCTAGCCTAAAGTGTCAGAGGTTTAAAGACCAGAAACCAGCCTTATTTTTCATTATGAACAGAATAAATAATAAAACAGTCACAGATGAGACAATGAAAATCCCCTTTCCTAGAAGGATGTCTTATGTCCCACACATAAGTATATTATCTAGAAACTTTACTTGAAATCTTTAAGTTTTTTACCATTAGCCTTGACGAATGGAAATTAGTTTTTAGACCATTAGCAATGACGTTCAAACGTGGCATATCAGGCGTGAACAATGAGTGAATGAGAATTTACTCAACATATATTTGATATTTCAGATGTTGACATAATAAAATTGACCGGAAAGGGATTTTGTGTTAATCTCAAAATGAAATGTAAAAAGGATCGACAAGTACATAACGAATAATAATACCATTTAGAAAGAAATCACCGCAAATAATTTTGTAAAGACAGCTAAGTAATATGAAAAGGCAATTTGAATATATAAACATAAACATGATTACATGATTGATGATGATTCCTATGTTGGGCCTTGTCCTGAATAATATTAAGATGAAGATCTACTTACCGTAGCAGTCTCTTTGACCAATATCATGATCTCGTAATAGGCTTGAAACCTTTCTTAGATTGCCTTCAAAAACAGCTTTATGAAGGGGATATCGGTCGCAAGCACTATTTATTTCAGTCATTCTTTACGCCTTCATTTGTTGTTCTTCTCGTCTAGATTGTGTTGACCTCTAACACCGGCGGCGCTTGCGTTTCCTTCTGTGCTACCACTTGCAAATTTCATTCACCCCAGAAGCCGGGGGAGCCGGGCCTTACGGGGGATGTTTCATATGGGATATTTCGACTTTCGCACACGCCTTCCTTCGTGGGAGTGTCAACAGTGAGTGTCAATGATAGGTGTAGCGGAAGGGGATGAGATAGGATGAATTGTATTTGCTTACTTCGGTCATTAAAGGTACTTGTGTTGCTGAAAGAGAAACGTTCTCAATATTGATTTTTTTGACTCCGCGGTGTTGGCGGGTGTTCATGTGGTTTTTTTTTAGTTTTGGAATGTAGCAAATTATGCTTTTTGCTCCTTTCTCAAATATCTCGAGAATTTGATTTCACTGAATCGGAAGAAGATTTCACTGAATCGGGGATCGCACAAGTTTTGTGAAACTTCCGGACAATCATTCGGGAGGTTTTCGCAACAGTGTATATGATAGGTACAATGTTTTGTAGTTTTGTGTACAGTGGGTGGAAAATCTCTTACCTCTAAAAAACATGCCAAAAAATTGACAGTCTGCTAGTAGCTTGGAATTCTGCCTGAAGGAAACGTTTTCCACGATGCTAGCATACTGAAAATTCTGAAAGCACAAAATGTCGATTTGGGTAACATTATTAAATTTATTATACATAAAACATTCTCCCAATAGGGCTTTTCAGTATGTACTAACAAATGATAAAAATTATATTTCTATTTACTATTACGTTATTGGCTATACTATATTTGTAAAATATATTTACAATTAGAAGCAAGTCAGTCTTGGTTATATATTAAGGTCTGTTAATACTTCTACTAAGAGAAGTTTCCGTTAACATTGTTTTCTAACATATTTTTCATAAAGTGCTTCTTAGTTCTTAAATGTTTTAAGTGGACGTCGTAACCTCGGATTCGATCATTCGAAGTCAAAAAGCCCTGGGACGAGCTTGCATCGTCAAATGTCCATATTTAGACCAAAATTTAGACTAACTGGACTACTAAGCAATTAGTGACGTCACAATCGCAAGATTCCAATGTTTACACAATTGTTTACATTGCTTAGCAACAACAACACCACATCAATCACGGCGAGAACAAGGAGAATGTGCAGTATGGACGTTTTAGTTGAAAAAAGTGTTGAAACTGATTCAACAATAAATAAAAATTAAATTTTCTATTGTTGTTCACAAGAAAGAATATTTTTGGCGATAAAATAATGGTTGAAACTGGTTTATTTTCGGCGCGAACATTGACGGTCACTTTCCAATTTGCATCTGCCGTCAAATACAGTTTTGGCCTAAGAAGGTATGTACATTTGAATTTGTTGTTCGGTAGTGTTTAGCTCACTGACAAACTCAGTTTATGGTAGCAAAAAAAAGAAAAATGTTGAGGAATTGCTACATCGAGAGCCAGTTTTACTTGTGATTTTTTTAAATGTTTCACTCGATATATAAACTATATTAACTATATAAACCATAAATATAAACTGAGCTCATGCTTAAATAGAATTCATAGCAGATCACTTTTTTTCAGTTTTTGCATTTTCGACGCCTCCTTATTTTATTTTTTAATCCCTTTAATAATAACACATCGTCCATTTAAAACTTTGAGAACTTGCATGGAAGTAGTTTATTTGGCGATTTGCAACTAATGAATTTTGAAGCATCCAAAACATAACCAGTTTAATAAGAATCCTCAGTCAACTTTATATTAATATTAATCCATGCTTCATCTTATAACATAAAAAAATATTTATTTTTAAGCAGCGCTTCGAAAACCGCTAGATTATAGTAATGGATGGATGGATATCACTGATAATAACGATTGATCATGGACCACAAGAGAGTCGAATATCGAGGGCTTTCAGGGCAAGTGCAATGGTCATATATGTTTGGATTGAATAGAATGAATAGTACCATGAGAAGTTTACATGAGGTAACCTTTACCATTTCAACCTTATTTTGAATCCGTCAGGATATGAGGTATGTTTTCGCCTATCGAATTATTTATACTAAGCCTAAAGGCAGTATAAACCTGTTTCACACTTCTTCTTAGAATCACACTTCTTCCTGCAATTTCCTTTGTATGAGGACTGAGGTCACTTGCGCGCAAATTACACTTTGTTCGCTTTGTCAATCGGAAAAATATACAATGCATGGATTATAAAATTATACAATTCTACAATCCCCAATTCTTAGGAGCTAGTGTGAATCAGGTTCTTACGACCTAAACATTTAGACTTAATATAAAGCGGTAAGCACGTACCTTACATGAAGTGCTCCGTCCCCAGTTGCGCGTTTTTCATAGAACAGAGAACATGAAGGCTTTAGATATAGCATTGACGATCTGTGGCAGATTTTGGGTAAGTAAAAATAAATCAAATCGACTATAATTCCCAAATCAAAATACCCAAATAAGTAAACTATTAGTTATTTATTTCTAAAGAATATGGTTGTAAGTTTGAGCTGCAGTAATTTATTCTCATGCACTTACCCAGTTTCGACGATAGATATAGCAAGAGATCTGCCACGGGTGACGAAAAATATTAATATATATAAGATAATAATACATCGTATACGGACAGCCTAAGGCCTCAAGCGCGAAATAACCGCACTACCCGGACCCTCTAATTCCTCACAAAACACACATGACATTTACCTGATTTACATAAACCTTGTAGTCTCCAGACGCACACCCAGGAGTGTTGATAAACTCCATTAGGTTAGCATAGGACATATAACGTCAAGCGTAAACTAGTCAGAGCCCTCCATTCATCACCACACAAAAATGAACACATATAAACCCTGTAGTTTCCAGATGCAAACCCTGGAGTGTTGATAAACTCCATTAGGTTAAGTATAGGACCTAAGACCTCAAGCGTAATATACTCGCACTAGTCAGAACCCTCCATTCCTCACCAGATACACACACATGACATGCACATAAACCTTGTAGTATCAAGATGCACACCCTGGAGTGTTGATAAACTCCATTAGGTTAAGTATAGGACCTAAGACCTCAAGCGTAATATACTCCCACTAGTCAGAGCCCTCCATTCCTCAGCACACACACATGGCATGCACATAAACCTTGTAGTATCCAAATGCACACCCTGGAGTGTTGATAAACTCCATTAGGTTAAGTATAGGACCTAAGACCTCAAGCGTAATATACTCGCACTAGTCAGAGCCCTGCATTCCTCAGCACACACACATGGCATGCACATAAACCTTGTAGTATCGAAATGCACACCCTTGAGTGTTGATAAACTCCATTAGGTTAAATATAGGACCTAAGACCTCAAGCGTAATATACTCGCACTAGTCAGAGCCCTCCATTCCTCAGCACACACACATCGCATGCACATAAACCTTGTAGTATCTAGATGCACACCCTGGAGTGTTGATAAACTCCATTAGGTTAAGTATAGGACCTAAGACCTCAAGCGTAATATACTCGCACCAGTCAGAGCCCTCCATTCCTCGGCACACACACAAGGCATGCACATAAACCTTGTAGTATCGAAATGCACACCCTGGAGTGTTGATAAACTCCATTACGTTAAGTACAGGACCTAAGGCCTCAAGCGTAATATACTCGCACTAGTCAGAGCCCTGCATTCCACACCACACACACATGGCATGCACATAAACCCTGTAGTTTCCAGATGCAACCTGGAGTGTTGATAAACTCCATTAGGTTAAGTATAGGACCTAAGACCTCAAGCGTAATATACTCGCACTAGTCAGAGCCCGCCATTCCTTAGCACACACACATGGCATGCACATAAACCTTGTAGTATCCAAATGCACACCCTGGAGTGTTGATAAACTCCATTAGGTTAAGTACAGGACCTAAGGCCTCAAGCGTAATATACTCGCACTAGTCAGAGCCCTCCATTCCTCACCACACACACATGGCATGCACATAAACCTTGTAGTATCTAGATGCACACCCTGGAGTGTTGATAAACTCCATTAGGTTAAGTATAGGACCTAAGGCTCAAGCGTAATATACTCGCACTAGTCAGAGCCCTCATTCCTCACACACACATGGCATGCACATAAACTGTAGTTCCAGATGCACACCCTGGAGTGTTGATAAACTCCATTAGGTTAAGTACAGGACTTAAGGCCTCAAGCGTAATATACTCGCACTAGTCAGAGCCCTGCATTCCACACCACACACACATGGCATGCAAATAAACCCTGTAGTTTCCAGATGCAAATCCTGGAGTGTTGATAAACTCCATTAGGTTAAGTATAGGACCTAAGACCTCAAGCGTAATATACTCGCACTAGTCAGAGCCCGCCATTCCTCAGCACACACACATGGCATGCACATAAACCTTGTAGTATCCAAATGCACACCCTGGAGTGTTGATAAACTCCATTAGGTTAAGTACAGGACCTAAGGCCTCAAGCGTAATATACTCGCACTAGTCAGAGCCCTGCATTCTACACCAAACACACATGGCATGCACATAAACCCTGTAGTTTCCAGATGCAAACCCTGGAGTGTTGATAAACTCCATTAGGTTAAGTAAAGGACCTAAGGCCTCAAGCGTAATATACTCGCACTAGTCAGAGCCCTCCATTCCTCAGCACACACACATGGCATGCACATAAACTTGTAGTTTCCAGATGCACACCCTGGAGTGTTGATAAACTCCATTAGGTTAATAGGACCTAAGACCTCAAGCGTAATATACTCGCAGTAGTCAGAGCCCTCATTCCTCACAAACACACATGGCATGACATAAATGTAGTTCCAGATGCACACCCTGGAGTGTTGATAAACTCCATTAGGTTAAGTATAGGACCTAAGACCTCAAGCCTAATATACTCGCACTAGTCAGAGCCCGCCATTCCTCAGCACACACACATGGCATGCACATAAACCTTGTAGTATCCAGATGCACACCCTGGAGTGTTGATAAACTCCATTAGGTTAAGTATAGGACCTAAGACCTCAAGCGTAATATACTCGCACTAGTCAGAGCCCTCATTCCTCACACAAACACATGGCATGCACATAAACCTGTAGTATTAGATGCACACCCTGGAGTGTTGATAAACTCCATTAGGTTAAGTATAGACCTAAGACCTCAAGCGTAATATACTCGCACTAGTCAGAGCCCTCATTCCTCAGCACACACACATGCATGCACATAAACCTTGTAGTATCTAGATGCACACCCTGGAGTGTTGATAAACTCCATTAGGTTAAGTATAGGACCTAAGACCTCAAGCGTAATATACTCGCACTAGTCAGAGCCCTCCATTCCTCAGCACACACACATGGCATGCACATAAACCTTGTAGTATCGAAATGCACACCCTGGAGTGTTGATAAACTCCATTAGGTTAAGTACAGGACTTAAGGCCTCAAGCGTAATATACTCGCACTAGTCAGAGCCCTGCATTCCACACCACACACATGGCATGCACATAAACCCTGTAGTTTCCAGATGCAAACCCTGGAGTGTTGATAAACTCCATTAGGTTAAGTATAGGACCTAAGACCTCAAGCGTAATATACTCGCACTAGTCAGAGCCCGCCATTCCTCAGCACACACACATGGCATGCACATAAACCTTGTAGTATCCAAATGCACACCCTGGAGTGTTGATAAACTCCATTAGGTTAAGTACAGGACCTAAGGCCTCAAGCGTAATATACTCGCACTAGTCAGAGCCCTCCATTCCTCAGCACACACATGGCATGCAGATAAACCTTGTAGTATCTAGATGCACACCCTGGAGTGTTGATAAACTCCATTAGGTTAAGTATAGGACCTAAGACCTCAAGCGTAATATACTCGCACTAGTCAGAGCCCTCCATTCCTCAGCACACACACATGGCATGCACATAAACCTTGTAGTATCTAGATGCACACCCTGGAGTGTTGATAAACTCCATTAGGTTAAGTATAGGACCTAAGACCTCAAGCGTAATATACTCGCACTAGTCAGAGCCCTCATTCCTCACACACAAACATGGCATGCACATAAACTTGTAGTTTCTAGATGCACACCCTGGAGTGTTGATAAACTCCATTAGGAAGTATAGGACCTAAGACCTCAAGCGTAATATACTCGCACTAGTCAGAGCTCATTCCTCACAAACACACACATGGCATGCACATAAACCTTGTAGTATCTAGATGCACACCCTGGAGTGTTGATAAACTCCATTAGGTTAAGTATAGGACCTAAGACCTCAAGCGTAATATACTCGCACTAGTCAGAGCCCTCCATTCCTCAGCACACACACATGGCATGCACATAAACCTTGTAGTTTCGATGCACACCCTGGAGTGTTGATAAACTCCATTAGGTTAAGTATAGGACCTAAGACCTCAAGCGTAATATACTCGCACTAGTCAGAGCCCTCCATTCCTCACACACACACATGGCATGCACATAAACCTTGTAGTATCTAGATGCACACCCTGGAGTGTTGATAAACTCCATTAGGTTAAGTATAGGACCTAAGACCTCAAGCGTAATATACTCGCGCTAGTCAGAGCCCTCCATTCCTCAGCACACACACATGGCATGCACATAAACCTTGTAGTATCTAAATGCACACCCTGGAGTGTTGATAAACTCCATTAGGTTAAGTATAGGACCTAAGACCTCAAGCGTAATATACTCGCACTAGTCAGAGCCCTCCATTCCTCAGCACACACACATGGCAAGCACATAAATCTTGTAGTATCTAGATGCACACCCTGGAGTGTTGATAAACTCCATTAGGTTAAGTATAGGACCTAAGACCTCAAGCGTAATATACTCGCACTAGTCAGAGCCCTGCATTCCTCATCAAACACACATGGCATGCACATAAACCCTGTAGTTTCCAGATATACACCATTCCTCAGCACACACACATGGCATGCACATAAATTTTTAGTATCTAGATGCACACCCTGGAGTGTTGATAAACTCCATTAGGTTAAGTATAGGACCTAAGACCTCAAGCGTAATATACTCGCACTAGTCAGAGCCCTCCATTCCTCAGCACACACACATGGCATGCACATAAACCTTGTAGTAACTAGATGAACACCCTGGAGTGTTGATAAACTCCATTAGGTTAAGTATAAGGTCGACCTAAGACCTCAAGCGTAATATACTCGCACTAGTCAGAGCCCTCCATTCCTCAGCACACACATGGCATGCACATAAATCTTGTAGTATCTAGATGCACACCCTGGAGTGTTGATAAACTCCATTAGGTTAAGTATAGGACCTAAGACCTCAAGCGTAATATACTCGCACTAGTCAGAGCCTTCTATTCCTCATAGATGCACACCCTGGAGTGTTGATAAACTCCATTAGGTTAAGTATAGGACCTAAGACCTCAAGCGTAATATACTCGCACTAGTCAGAGCCCTCCATTCCTCAGCACACGCACATGGCATGCACATAAACCTTGTAGTTTCTAGATGCACACCCAGGAGTGTTGATAAACTCCATTAGGTTAAGCATAGGACCTAAGACCTCAAGCGTAATATACTCGCACTAGTCAGAGCCTTCCATTCCTCATAGATGCACACCCTGGAGTGTTGATAAACTCCATTAGGTTAAGTATAGGACCTAAGACCTCAAGCGTAATATACTCGCACTAGTCAGAGCCCTCCATTCCTCAGCACACACACATGGCATGCACATAAACCTTGTAGTATCTAAATGCACACCCAGGAGTGTTGATAAACTCTATTAGGTTAAGTATAGGACCTAAGACCTCAAGCGTAATTTACTCGCACTAGTCAGAGCCCTCCATTCCTCAGCACACACACATGGCATGCACATAAATCTTGTAGTATCTAGATGCACACCCTGGAGTGTTGATAAACTGCATTAGGTTAAGTATAGGACTTAAGACCTCAAGCGTAATATACTCGCACTAGTCAGAGCTCTGCATTCCTCATCAAACACACATGGCATGCACATAAACCCTGTAGTTTCCAGATGCACACCCTGGAGTGTTGATAAACTCCATTAGGTTAAGTACAGCACTTAAGGCCTCAAGCGTAATATACTCGCACTAGTCAGAGCCCTGCATTCCACACCACACACACATGGCATGCACATAAACCCTGTAGTTTCCAGATGCAAATCCTGGAGTGTTGATAAACTCCATTAGGTTAAGTATAGGACCTAAGACCTCAAGCGTAATATACTTGCACTAGTCAGAGCCCGCCATTCCTCAGCACACACACATGGCATGCACATAAACCTTGTAGTATCCAAATGCACACCCTGGAGTGTTGATAAACTCCATTAGGTTAAGTACAGGACCTAAGGCCTCAAGCGTAATATACTCGCACTAGTTAGAGCCCTGCATTCTACACCAAACACACATGGCATGGACATAAACTCTGTAGTTTCCAGATGCAAACCCTGGAGTGTTGATAAACTCCATTAGGTTAAGTAAAGGACCTAAGATTTCAAGCGTAATATACTCGCACTAGTCAGAGCCCTCCATTCCTCAGCACACACACGGCATGGACATAAATCTTGTAGTATCTAGATGCACACCCTGGAGTGTTGATAAACTCCATTAGGTTAAGTATAGGACCTAAGACCTCAAGCGTAATATACTCGCACTAGTCAGAGCCCTCCATTCCTCAGCACACACACATGGCATGGACATAAATCTTGTAGTATCTAGATGCACACCCTGGAGTGTTGATAAACTCCATTAGGTTAAGTATAGGACCTAAGACCTCAAGCGTAATATACTCGCACTAGTCAGAGCCCGCCATTCCTCAGCACACAGACATGGCATGCACATAAACCTTGTAGTATCCAAATGCACACCCTGGAGTGTTGATAAACTCCATTAGGTTAAGTATAGGACCTAAGACCTCAAGCGTAATATACTCGCACTAGTCAGAGCCCTGCATTCCTCAGCACACACACATGGCATGCACATAAACCTTGTAGTATCGAAATGCACACCCTGGAGTGTTGATAAACTCCATTATGTTAAGTACAGGACTTAAGGCCTCAAGCGTAATATACTCGCACTAGTCAGAGCCCTGCATTCCACACCACACACACATGGCATGCACATAAACCCTGTAGTTTCCAGATGCAAATCCTGGAGTGTTGATAAACTCCATTAGGTTAAGTATAGGACCTAAGACCTCAAGCGTAATATACTTGCACTAGTCAGAGCCCGCCATTCCTCAGCACACACACATGGCATGCACATAAACCTTGTAGTATCCAAATGCACACCCTGGAGTGTTGATAAACTCCATTAGGTTAAGTACAGGACCTAAGGCCTCAAGCGTAATATACTCGCACTAGTTAGAGCCCTGCATTCTACACCAAACACACATGGCATGGACATAAACTCTGTAGTTTCCAGATGCAAACCCTGGAGTGTTGATAAACTCCATTAGGTTAAGTAAAGGACCTAAGATTTCAAGCGTAATATACTCGCACTAGTCAGAGCCCTCCATTCCTCAGCACACACACATGGCATGGACATAAATCTTGTAGTATCTAGATGCACACCCTGGAGTGTTGATAAACTCCATTAGGTTAAGTATAGGACCTAAGACCTCAAGCGTAATATACTCGCACTAGTCAGAGCCCTCCATTCCTCAGCACACACACATGGCATGGACATAAATCTTGTAGTATCTAGATGCACACCCTGGAGTGTTGATAAACTCCATTAGGTTAAGTAAAGGACCTAAGGCCTCAAGCGTAATATACTCGCACTAGTCAGAGCCCTCCATTCCTCAGCACACACACATGGCATGGACATAAATCTTGTAGTATCTAGATGCACACCCTGGAGTGTTGATAAACTCCATTAGGTTAAGTATAGGACCTAAGACCTCAAGCGTAATATACTCGCACTAGTCAGAGCCCGCCATTCCTCAGCACACACAGACATGGCATGCACATAAACCTTGTAGTATCCAAATGCACACCCTGGAGTGTTGATAAAACTCCATTAGGTTAAGTATAGGACCTAAGACCTCAAGCGTAATATACTCGCACTAGTCAGAGCCCTGCATTCCTCAGCACACCACACATGCATGCACATAAACCTTCTAGTATCGAAATGCACACCCTGGAGTGTTGATAAACTCCTTAGGTTAAGTACAGGACCTAAGGCCTCAAGCGTAATATACTCGCACTAGTCAGAGCCCTCATTCTCACACACACATGGCATGCACATAAACCTTGTAGTTCAGATGCACACCCTGGAGTGTTGATAAACTCCATTAGGTTAAGTACAGGACCTAAGGCCTCAAGCGTAATATACTCGCACTAGTCAGAGCCCTGCATTCCTCACACACACACATGGCATGCACATAAACCTGTAGTTTCCAGATGCACACCCTGGAGTGTTGATAAACTCCATTAGGTTAAGTACAGGACCTAAGGCCTCAAGCGTAATATACTCGCACTAGTCAGAGCCCTGCATTCCTCACCAACACACACATGGCATGCACATAAACCTTGTAGTTCCAGATGCACACCCTGGAGTGTTGATAAACTCCATTAGGTTAAGTACAGGACCTAAGGCCTCAAGCGTAATATACTCGCACTAGTCAGAGCCCTGCATTCCTCACCAAACACATGGCATGCACATAAACCCTGTAGTTTCCAGATGCAACCCTGGAGTGTTGATAAACTCCATTAGGTTAAGTACAGGACCTAAGGCCTCAAGCGTAATATACTCGCACTAGTCAGAGCCCTGCATTCCTCACACACACACATGGCATGCACATAAACCTTGTAGTTTCAGATGCACACCCTGGAGTGTTGATAAACTCCATTAGGTTAAGTACAGGACCTAAGGCCTCAAGCGTAATATACTCGCACTAGTCAGAGCCCTCCATTCCTCACCACACACACATGGCATGCACATAAACCCTGTAGTTTCCAGATGCACACCCTGGAGTGTTGATAAACTCCATTAGGTTAAGTATAGGACCTAAGACCTCAAGCGTAATATACACGCACCAGTCAGAGCCTCGCTCAACACACATGGCATGCACATAAACCTTGTAGTATCCAGATGCACACCCTGGAGTGTTGATAAACTCCATTAGATTAAGTATAGGACCTAAGATCTGAAGCGTAATATACACGCAATAGTCAGAGCCCTCCATTCCTCACCATACACACATGAACACATATAAACCCTTTAGTTTCCTGGGGTCGGTTGTATCAAACCGGTTTAGCTTAAACGGTGGATAAGTCAAAATTAAATAACACTCTTACATCTCTGTTTAATGAGTCAACTTGAATATTATGCACTGAATATGTAGTTGTAAACAGTATCTTTGTATTAACTATGATTAAGGTCAAAAACATTTAGTCCACTTTTTGAATAAAATGGCAGACTTGCTTTCTATTTTGAACTTATTGAAGCACCGTCGTTTATGAGTGATTTTCTGACCGGCTCATTTACCAATTTTACCCTGGTAAAAACTGGTATTTAAAACAATTCTATTATACTAATGCGACGGCGACACAGCTGGTCAGCGACCACGTATGTTACCATGGTTACAATTTATAAACAATTAACAGCACTAATTTAAATAATATTATATTGTATTACTTTAATATTTTTAAAAAGAAATGTTCATTGGTAGCTTTGTCTGTATTCTATTTTTAAATCTGTAGTTTTTTATATCTTAAAGATGAAATCACGAGCTCATATGTTACTAGAGAAAGAATTCGTGAAATTGCAGAAACAACCGATTTGGGTGAGTACAAAGAAATTCTCTATGAATAGGCTTATAGGCAGAATAGCCATGATAATAGTTCATTGGATTGACAATATGAAAGCCATTAATTGGGGTTGATATCTACAATATTAATGACTGATAACTTCTCAACACGAAGACTTGAGATTTACGTTTTTTCAAAGAATTTTAAATATGCAAAGCCTCTGTGCCTCCCCTACCTTTGATGAAACCAAGCGTGCAATTAGTGTAGATCGACATCAAGCAAATTATATTAGAAGAGGATAGCCACTCAGAAAGTTTAACACATTGTTCCTTTTTGGCCATAAATAATATTTCATGGCTTTTCTAATTAGGGTGATGCAAATATATACCAAATATCAGTCTTCCCCTTCCCTGCCTGCCAGCAAATCTCTAACATCCTTTAGCATATGTAGAGTCTCCCCACAAAGTATGAAAAATATATAATATTAATTATAAATTATAAATCCAGGGTATATCTGCTCAACCGCTGAATGACGATGACTTCTTTATTTGGGAAGCAAAAGTGAATGGTTTGAAAGACACATTGTGGGAAGGTAATGTATTTAACTCAATTCATCAAGGCATCGGAATTCAATAATATAAAAAACATAGATTCCTCATAATAAATATTCTAGTTTCATTAATGCCTTTAATACCTAATTGGCCCACCATACTTATACCCATATATGGAAGGTAGGTGTTAGCTTTGTTAATTTAGGGTTGCCTGGGTTGGCTTGCATGGAACAAGTACTGTAACTTAATGTGTGTAGACTTTTGTAACTTTTGTAACTTGTGGACTTTTTTGGGTACTGAGATAGATGTCCATAGCATCATAAGCTCACCACGTAAACTCCTCCCACCCTCTGGAGGAACCTATAGCTATCTTTAACAGAAACAATGATTGTTGGGAGGAAATATGGAAATGAATGGAGAAGAAAAATTACGATCGATCGTAATTGTCAACATATGAGAAATAGGCTTATGAGAAACAGTGAATGAGAATAGTAAGGTCAATTAACATACTCCCCAACAGAAACTTAATTACAAATCATTCTCTATTTGTAGAAGGGGTATTCAAGTTGTATTTGAAATTCTCTAAATCATACAACATTTATCCCCCAGAAGTATCCTTCATCACAATCCCATACCATCCGAACGGTATGAATATCTTCCACATTAATACACAGGCTATGATCCTGTATATTATTTGTGTATCTTCATGTACTGATTTTGTTAAAACAAAAATCAATATTTAATCCTACAGTTGATCCTTCGACTGGCAAGCCTTGTGTAGATTTTTTGGATAATGCTGGCATATGGCAAGATTCTTTTAATGTTGGTTATATTTTGCTGAGTATACAGGTAAAAATTAGCAAATCAGCATTATGTATTTAACCATATTTTTATAAATTAGCTCATATCAACCTAATATCTATAAAGTTTATCTGCTACATGCTTTTCAGACCTCCGTTTTATGTTGAATGGATTGATAATACAATAATTAGACACTTCCAATAAATAAGTACATACCTCAGTTACCTCCAATTTCCAACACAAAGGAGGAGTCTTTAGCTCTGACAAAATGTAGAAATCAACCTGTGATTTGGATCTTTTTACCCCGTTCCATTTGCTGGGAGAAATATCAATATATATCACGCATGCCTTGTTTACTTATAGGCGTTGCTGGCGAATCCGGTGTTGAAAAATGCTGTGAACAAAGAGGCAGCATTTATGTTTTGCAACAAGATTGAAAAGTATCGTGAAATAGTGATGAATTGTGTTCTGGCAAGCAAGAGACTGGATGGTATTTAGAGAGACAATCCATTCAACTTTGCTTAATACTGTACAACCACAGCTATGTACAGGGTTTCCCCCAAAAAACGCAATTGGCAATTCAAACTTGTGTTTTGAAGTACTGTAGGTCACAACAAGGAAAGCTGTTTCGGCCGCTACAGTTAACAGTACCATGATGTTACATGATTTGCGTTTTGCCGAACAATTTCGTGGTATTAAGGACAAACAGAAATTTGTAGTTGGTTTCTAAATACCGATAGGACATAAAAAATGTTCTTTTACGGTGCATCTTAAAATCAACGGTTGTGCGGGAATCTATCTTGCATGTAAATCGGATTTCTTGCCTGAAATGCTAAAGAAACGTATCCTTGAAAAGAGAAACGAGCAGGCCTTAAAATGACTAAAATGAGATCATTCTTGATTAATTTGATTACGTTTTCATTTAGCAATTAGGCTTGAAATGTTAATTGCGACACCCTGTAGTATAAGCCAATATATAGCCTGCAAGGCATTTTGGGCCAACCTGAAGGATGAACGGTATACAAGCGACATAAGTGCCAAGTGGTGACATTGTACTCATGCAGAAATAGAACCATCTTCAAACGCTGCCAGAATAAAATTATTTTTATATATCATTTTGGTTAGGACAATGAACTTCTCAGAATAATCAAACCTAGTTTTTTGTAAGCTCAATTTTATTTTTAGATTTTAATTTATTTTGGAATTTAGCTAAACTTCATCTCAATACAACCGAAGAAGATGAAAGTCCTATCGTAGAATTAACGGATGAGTTAGAAGAGCAAAAGCCGCAAAAGAACTTTCTTCGTTCGAGCAAAGTCTCGTTTGGAGACTACTTGAAGTTATGGAAGGGAATCGCAACATCAAATCCTTCCGACTCGCCAGTGAATGCGTTAAACGAGTACTTAAAAACAGACAATAAACTCCAGAAGGCTCATTTTGAGCTATCGAAAGCCGACGTTGAGAAGGAAATACGAATTCAGCTGGCAGAACATAGGAAATTGATGTATGGGACTTTGGCTTGTAAAAATGAAAAATATGCTGATTCGGTTGATAGTCCCAGATCATTGCCTACACGAGTTAATATGCTTAGGCATGTTTACATTGGAAAACCGAGTAAGTTGAAATACTTCTTAATTTATATCGTACAATTTTATTTCCCCCATGCAAAACATTAATTTAAATTAATATCACGTGATGTAGCTACTATTATATACAGTACATGTCATGATCGAATGCTCCAACATAACAACATTCGCCCGATTTATACTACTGACGTATCATCCGTCCTGGACGAACTTGGGCAAGCGAAAGATAGTTCGTCTTCTAGTTCGTTTGTTGCAAACACACGGGCAAGTACGTCTGTTAGTGTAAATACAGGGTGGGGACGAACTACGAAAAATTCATCATAAAACGGCTCTTGTGCACTCTTTTTACTATAGCCACATAAATAATCTCCATTGTCCGTGCACTGCCCAAACGCGCGATTCTGTGCCGTTTAACACGTTCGTCTATATAGTTCGTCTACATAGTTTGTCGTGTGTGTCAACATTCAGACGAATAATCTGTCGGACGGATCATTCTTCCAGACGGATAATCCGTCTCCAGTATAAATCGGGCCAATATAGGTGTCTTATGTGTTTTGACCTAATGGATGCATGATCGACAGTAATATTTATCCGATTTTGCCACAAATAGATACAACAGAGCCAAATACACCTGAACCACCATCACTTAGGGACGACCTGGTTGATCTTGATAAAGAAGCAATTGACTTAGTTAACTGGAGCAGGAGTTTGTCAACTGAACAAACGTATGATTAAGAAAAGAACAATTAAATGAATACAGGCCTGTGCATTGTGATGATCATAGTCAGCGTACGAGGCCTGCGTGCGTGCTGCTGTAAAATCCTTGCCCGTTTTAAAAACCTTGCACTCTGTTTTGCTTGCAAGCTTACCATTGGTTTATGGACATGCATATAATTCAACATATCGAAACAGAAAATAATATGCGATCATGTGGACGCAGTCTGGACTTGCAGTTATCCGTCAACCCAAACTTTTATGTATACGTTTGTGTTAACTGTTTCCACGCATCAACCATCATCCATAAATACAGTATGGGGAGAAAGTCACAAAAACCTTTTAGACTGGGAAGAATAAGTTGAATATATAGGAAGCTCTATATTGGGTATTGTTTCACAGCCATTAATTCATCTGTTATTAATTTTAAAAACGGCGTAAGTTTAATATATTACCACAATTCGGATGCAGAAATTGAGAAGAAAATCGGGGCTGAAATGCTCTGAAAAGGGTAGAGAGTTTAAGTGAAGTTTAAGTAACTCTGTTAGTTTCTCAAATTACTGAATTGATTGAAACAACAAAAAATTAGCGGTTACACGTTATAATGTTATGCACAGCAGGTCATGTCCTTCTTAGGAGTAGACAATTCTCCCATAGAACCCCATAAGATAGATAACTAGGAGGTAGGCGGCGCCAGAAAGTTTAATGAGCTGGTCAATCTGTCAAAAAAATTGTATAAAAAGGTATGGTAGGCCTGTAGAACTGGTATTTAGCAAGGCAAGACGCCTTAGGAAAAACTAAGACATGGTTGGTTACATGACTTATATCTTTAGGAAAAACTTATCTTTAGGAAAAATTTAATCATATTTAAGCTTCAACGTCGCTCACGAAATGGAATGCAGCTCTTTCAGACCATGTTAAAGTAAATGATTGCACGGAGGGATGCCTTATTTTTTCAACGTTGAAGTAAGAAATTACAAGTTTAGAGTGTCGAACTCATACATCCAATCGAACCTATTCTACTGTGACTGCGGTTTTATATGTGACGTAATGGAAATGATGACTGTATTTGACGTCCAGTTGTAAAAGTCATGCAATCATTAAATAAATAAATAACGTGTATTGCTAAACCTTTCGATAAATTCCTAATCGATTAATTCGATTTGGCATGAACTTTTAATAGATTCATCTTTCCCAGCATTCAGTAAAGGGCAGAAGCTAATAAAGAATTTTATCCCCGCACTGACAAATCGAAAACAAAGAATCATACATTATAGTTATCCTAAATTTTCCTTCCTTCATTTCCATTTTGCTATCTACTTTATATCAGGAGCGATAAAGGCGTCTTACAATTACCAATTAAGATTCTTTTTTTTTATCCTCCTTCCGTCGAAAGAGATGAAACAAAAAAAACTTTAAACGCAACTAGATGGAGCAATTTTATTGTTCTAGATACTTGTCATCTTATGATATAAAGCAATTTACAAAGACTTTCATAACCGTTTCCGTAAATTATTTGCAAAGTATAGTTGTTGTAATATGGAGAATGCATGATTATCATGTCGTTTTCAAATACTTTTGGTTGAAATATATTTTCAATGTTTAATATAATTAAGACATCGCAACTACATGCACGTATTCATGCAAATACAGTTTCTCCTCTTATTCAATCTGATATAACTTGCCACTCGATCAGAAGTCGTCAATAGACGTTCAATATCATAGTTGCACGAATTTTCAAATGTTTCTGGACATTTTTGAGAACTCAAGGTTCAGCTGCGTGTTAAATAATAAGTATTATACTTATAGCCAATCAATAACCTTGCTCGTAGACTCTTGGATCACTTACGATTTTCAAGCAAACTTTATATACCTCCAAACAGTTGAATAGTGGCGATAATTATGTTACATTCCCAAGCAATGCGTGTCATATCGCTCTTCAACCCTACCGGGGTGCGTCATTGACAAGCAGCAATAAACAAAACATTGAAGTGGTCCGGCATGTTTCTATCAAAGTACGGATCAAACAGGATATTGCATGCGTACGTGCACTGTGCGTGTGTTCGCTATGAGTGCCATTTTAGACTCTTGCATTATGTAAGGACAGGACTGACGCAAATCGATAAATATTTTATGAGGTGTTTATGTGCTGCCTATACCTATATACATTTACCTATACTCCTATATATGATTAAGATCAACTGATTTAAAAGAGCGCTCGACACCATAGCGGACTTAGCGGTATAGCGTATTCACTCAGCGAAAGTACGATAACAGACAGCAACAATCTTGCCTATTTTGCATGAGTGCATGTTTGCGATCGCTGCTGGCTATTTTTTTAGCTTTCAATCAAATCATTTTTATCGATGCTGTAAAAACTGTAGAGAAACAGGACTGTGAAGTATTGCTATTTTAATGTCTACCCGTGTTGGTCAGCAGTTTGAAGTAAAAGGGAAAAGTATATGCCAACTCACTTTGTTGTTTTGAACTTTTGAACTAGAGCAGAAGAAAAATTTGTAAACGTACCATTAAACAGGATGGCGCCTAATTTGTAATGACATACATTGTGACATCCTCGTATATTCGTATGAAAAATCACGCCGATCGAACATCATTTTTGATGATTCTGTTTATAGAAATGGCAAAAATGCCAGGTCAAGGTTATATAGGATGTCAAAATAATTATGTTCAAACGTTTCCCACTTATAGGGTCAATCTATCTTTTTAAGAACATGCATGCATTTTCCGACACACACACACACACGTTGAATGATGTGAATTTTCCCCCCCCCCGGTCACATTATTGTGCGTCGACTTTACCCCTTACTTTTATCACAGTTTTATAAATTATTACGCCGGATTTCATTTTAGGTTTGGCAAAATATGTTACACGACTGTATATATTAACATGCTTCATGATCTGCTGAATAATGAGTAATGAGTTAGTGAAGCATTTGCAGTCGTTGTTAGGTTATACAACTGTGGTTATACTACGTGTCTCGAGGAGAGGGTGAATGGAAGGGCATCTTTTCCTCCTGAAATCTAGTCGGAGAAACTGCAGATATGACAAATTCTGATTTTAAGAATTAAAGTTAAGTTCTAATGTCATATAAGTTATAACCACATTAATGCACGGTATTGACTCCATCTACCTTGAAGTCGCCGGTGTCACCCGGCTCCTTTAACCCCAATACACTAACCGGCTAATATATATTCATTTTCGCTAAGATAATTTGGCCTTAGTTTCCTTGTATATGTATATATATAACCCCAATATACAATAGACCATTGGCATTGTCAGAGGGATAAGTGGAATTGATGAGAAAAACAGACCTGCATATAGATTGCATCTTTTTAACTAGTTGAAAAGCTCATAGTCTACTCATTGCCTGAGTGTTTCAACGCTCCCTTTAACAGCTTACTAAATGCATATTCCAGACCCAAAAACAAATGTTTAGATACAAACTCTCCGCAACGTACATTGCCACTAATGGACGAAAGCCGTCTTCAGACGAACGTCGTCTTCATGATTCATTAGTGAGCTTAAGCAAGTGACGTTTTTGACAACACGTACGTTCACCGGAAGTAAAGTTTTTGTTTTTCACCAATCACAATCCTTGACCCAGTCTTTTCACGTTACTCATGCCGTTTGTGTTGTCAAAAACGTCGCTTGCTTAAGCTCACTATTGACCGTCTGTTCGCCCGCCGCCCGTGTGTTTCAAAGATCGCGATGCGTTATAGTTTGGCAGCAAAATTTCTATGCTAAAAAGCGAATCATGATACAAGCGGACGAGACCCTCATGATCGGAATTATATAGAGGATTTAAGGTGGCTCTGAAAAAAATGTGATTTTTACACTATGGAAAGTACGCATGCGTGTATGTGCATGTGATGGTAAAATGTGAATTTTTCGATTTAAAAATACGAAAAAAATTTGCACTGTTTGAAAAAACGACACTGATGGTCCGCGATACACGTTGTAGTTATCGCGAGCATTCGAGGTGATGATTACGGGATCGTCCACACGTGGAAAATGTCGGAAACCAACACCGTACCTAAATATTTTGATAGATAACCTTGGCCTTGCATGGTTGTCGTGTTTTCTAACACTCGAGACAAAAACGTACTCGTTACATATAAGAGTGTCTTTAGTCAAACTACTTAGGATTAACGTCATGAATTGAAATAGAATGCAAACTTATATCTTTTATTTTTATTTTTTTTGATAGTATACTGTCTTAGTCATAGTCATGTCTTAGTCTATTATAATTAAGTTTAGTCAAATTTAGCCTTTCGACTGTGCTGTATTTCATGCAAGTGAATTAGTTTTAACTTGCATGCACTTCATGCAAAATGCCCAAAACGAATTCACTCACAGATATGGAATGTTGAAGGCTGTAACAGGTTAACAGCGGCCGTACGTCATTCGTATACACACTCGTATACCTGCGTAGTTGAGGTCACTTAATATTGAGGCTGTCGTCCCTTCAAACTTGTACTTAACCTTGAACTCTGAGAATGATAGATTGATAGTTATCAGCCATGAAATAAGAGAGCTTAAAGTCAGGAATTGTGCTCTGAGCTTGAAAGTTTTCTTTTTTGGACTGAAATGGCGTACTAAATTGCAGCTGTGCAGAACAAAAAACTTCATAGAAATATACCCGGCCAACTCAGTTGAGAGGCTATACCTATATATGCGCATGGCTATATGCATGCATGAACTATATGATTTTACAGACATGCATAGACCGCATCCATAGGAAATATACAGGAAATATACTATAAGTCTATATAACCGAAGTACCGAACCGAACCAAAGTACCAAACGTTTGGTAACAATCAGAGTTTTCCTGTTTTATAGCTATATAGAGCTGCAATCTTATCCGTGAATTGGTTTGTCGCTTGCGTGTATGTATCTAATAGTTCAGTACCCTGTGTATGTTGGGGATTAAAACTCAGTTATAATGACCGTTTAGTGAATTAAGTGAGTCATTGAAAAACATTACCCAGCTTGCATCTGTTCACCATATACGAACAGAGTTGGTCCGCTTGCACGAAAGACGTTTCCAGACCACGAAAGACGTTTCCAGACCATGCAGGATCGCGCGTGCGGTGCAAACTTATAAAGTTTGATTATGACCTGTCTTAACTGATCTGCGTTGTATTATTTCCCTATCGATAGAATGCTAGACTTATACACTGAGTGATTACAGAAAACTCTCACAACGCGGGGTCGACAATTCTTGCCAAAAATGTGGACCGTGATGCCCCTTATCATCGCTGCCACATTCATGTCGCTGCACGAATTAAATTATCCGCGATTTGACGAGAAATGCATTTTTATGGTTAATCTTTTTTTTATTTACAAATCATACCTTTTACTGTGGAGGAGGATGTTTTGAATAAGCTGAGACAAAGAACACTTGAAACAGTCTATGAAATATTCTCCCCCCCTCCAGAGTCGAGCTTTTCTAAGGATTGAATTTTGTTAACGATTTGTTAATTTGAGAGCGCTGCAAATCACCCTTATTGATGCCAACTAACCTGCATTTTTTAATTTATAAGTAAAGCATTTTTTAATTTATTTCAAACGTGCGGCGGGTCAAACCTGTGAACTGCAGTGATAAATTCCTTCATATCGCATACATACCATGCGCGTCAAAGGAATAAAAAAATATTGATAATTTTCGTGTAGAAAGAGTTGTTTCAACAAGGATTTTATTATAACAATAAGTTGGTGTTGAATCGGCATAAAATCAATTGTACTAATTTTCTTGTGCATTGGTCGACATCATTTCCCCCCCCCCCCAATGTTATTTCTGGTAGGTTTACATATATAGTTCAAACTATATACAGCGGAATAGTGAAATTATAGGAATTACCGCTTCGATTGCTTTTTCCGTGAAGCGTATAAAGAGGCAGCCAACAGTGCTATTCATTTACATGCATGAGTTTAAAAAAAAAATTGGCAAGCCATGGCTGCGTGATGCATGAACTTTGTGCACTGCAACGGTCTCTCCTTCGCATCGTGCTCTTGAAAACGCGCTTCAAATCCTGCCAATTAATTAATGCCGGGTTGTGGTTAAGCTTATGACTTCCATGGGTGGGACCAACTGAAAGAACTGTCCTGTACTTAACATTCCCAACACCCTATATGCATGATACAACAACCAGTTCCTCTATATAGTCTCCAAATTCAAGTGTATTGTTGCTCATAAAAGTGGGAAGATATTAATCTCGCTTCCTGATAAAATCTCATCAACATTACTTAACTAAACGTAAGACAAACAAACCATGCAAGAGATTAAAAGTTGTGACTGACACATATATCGTATAGCTATCAAAGTTTCATGGTAAAGTAACTAAAGTTCATTTAAATATATAGGTCGTTTTCGTTTTCTCCGCAGTGAAATATTTTTTAAGGCCAATCACATTCACATCGCCAGGTCGCGAATTCAGTTTTTGAAGTCATTACAATTTTAAAATAAAAGCAAAACAAATCTCTTGAAAAATTGAAAAGCTATTTCTTTTACAGGTTTTTGGGAAAATGGACGTAGAACAAACGTCGCTCTTTTCATCTACCGTGAACCTCATGCAAATGCATGAGTAAAGTATTTGTTTGAGCTCATTTGCATTAGGTTCGGTGGCATGAGAAGAGCGACGTTTGACTTATATATATATATACGAACCGTTTTCAATGGCAATAACTTTGAACTC